CTCTGGCCCCCTTTCTTCCCTGGGCTGGTTGCCCCAACCCCCCCCCCCGCAGTACCATCCCTCCCCTGGTGATGTGCTCCAGCGCCAGCCTTCCAAGACTTTTGGGCACCTCCCCCCCATCAGCTGGATGACCCAAGTGCCAGCCCCTCCTTTGGCGGCAGGCAGCATCCCTCCTACACCTAATTGCCCCAGTGCCAGCTTCACCTCACCCCCAAGCATCTTTCCTGCACTGTCTGGGTACCGCAATGCCAGTCCCCACTTTGTTCTCTATCCCCCTCCACCCCAGAGGGCCCCGCCTCAGCTCCAGCCTCCTGTTCCTGGGTGTCTCCCACCAACCCCCGAGCCTGGGTACCTCCACCCACTGCTGCCCCATGCCAGCCCCTGCACATCATTGCTGGCCTGAGCACCCCTGCCCACCCGCGATCATCACGGTGCAGCAACATGCAGTGCGTGTGGCCCTGGGCTCCACCGGACAATGCACCTCAATCCTGACCCGCAGCCCCCGCTGCCCCAGCCTAGGCCTCCCTCCTGGGAAGTGAGCCCCCATCCTCTGGCCATTCCACGCTTCAGCTCTGTCGCTTGATCCCAATCCCACTTCTGTTCCAGCAAACCTAGCGACCACGGACATCATCTTCCTGGTGTGCTGTGTGCCCTTCACCGCCACGCTCTACCCCCTGCCCAGCTGGGTCTTCGGCGACTTCATGTGCAAACTCGTCAACTACCTGCAGCAGGTGGGGCTGGCTGGGGAGGGGGCCGGGGAGGGGGGACCGGGTGGGAACATGTATGGGAGAGGGTGCTGGGGAGCGACGTGCAACAGCTGCTGGTCCTGGGGGTGCTGGATGGACCTGGGGCTATGCCCTGCAGGGAGGCAATGCCTGGCAATGAGCCCAGGCCCCCCAACTGCCCCTTTGCCATTCGGGAGGGGGAGCCGTGGGTGGGGGTTGTGTCACTGGGTGCTTGTGTTCCCTGCAGGTGACGGCACAGGCCACCTGCATCACCCTGACAGCGATGAGCATGGACCGCTGCTACGCCACCCTCTACCCGCTGCAGTCGCTGCGCTACCGCACCCCCCGCATCGCCATGGGCGTCAGTGTGGCCATCTGGGTCGGTGAGTGGGACAGCGGGGCCGGGGGCCAGCAAAGAGCTGGGGAAGGGGCCTCCCGGGGATGGTGAAAGGCGGGGATGGAGAACTGTGTCCCTGAACACAGGTCCAGGACACCAGCCCTCCACAGCTTTTGTAAAAGGCTTCTTAGAGATTCCTGGCCTGGCCCCAGCCAGTCCTAAACCCAGCCCCACAGCCCCATCCCAGCACAAGGGCTCCCCCAGCACCAATGAACGGAGGCAGAAGGAATTCATGGCTTTGCCTTGGGCTCTGATGGCTGATAGAAGCTTCCTCCTTCGGTTCTGATTCAACCCCCCCCAGCACCCACAAATCTCGTAATTCACCTCAGTCTCAATCGGCAGCTCCAGCTCTGCCAGCCCTGGGCTCCCCACCTCCGCTCTGCTGGCCCCCTCAGTCTCAACCTGTGTCCCTGGGCTCCCCACCTCAGCTCTGCTTCTGCCCCTCCATTCCGACCCAGCCCCCCCGCTATTCTATGCTCGCTGAACAGCGAGGGATGCTAACTCAGGGCCCAACCATTCATGAACATTCATGAACGGGGTGGGACGTGCCAGCCCAGTTCTCTGCCATGGCTGGGCCTCAGGTCTCCCCAGAGCACTGGCCTCGTCGTGCCTTTCACCCCTTTGCCCTCCTGTCCCCAGGCTCCTTCCTCCTCTCGCTGCCCATCGCCATGTACCACCGCACTGAGGTGGGCTACTGGTACGGGCTGCGCACATACTGCATCGAGGCCTTCACCAGCAAGAGCCAAGAGCGCAGCATCATCCTCTACACCTTCCTGGTGGTCTACCTGCTGCCCCTGCTCACCATCTGCCTCTGCTATTCTCTCATGCTCAAGCGGGTGGGGCGCCCCGTCGTGGAGCCCATTGACCACAACTACCAGGTGAGCCTGGCGCAAGAAATGGGGGTGTCTCTATATTGGGGCCCCCTCTGCCCAATACATCTGGGAGCCCCATCACCTCGCCCCAGGATTTTTCTCAATAGGGCATGGAGTCCACCCCCCCACCCTCTTCCAGAGCCACGGATGGAACCCAGAACTTCTGGCTCCAGCCCCCCTGCTTTAAACCTGGCCTTTCCGTTCCTGCTCTCCTCTCAGCAGGTGCCACACCTGTCGGAGCGCTCAGTCGCCATGAGGGCCAAGGTATCCAAGATGGTGGTGGTGATCGTGGTACTCTTCACCGTGTGCTGGGGCCCCATCCAGCTCTACCTCCTCTTCCAGGGCTTCTATGGTGGCTTCCAGGCTAACTATGAGACCTACAAGATCAAGACGTGGGCCAACTGCATGTCCTATGCCAACTCCTCCATCAACCCCATTGTCTACGCCTTCATGGGTGACAGCTTCAGGAAGTCCTTCAAGAAGGCTTTCCCCTTCCTCTTCCGGCGCCGGGTGCGAGATGGCGCCGTCCTCTCCGGCTCTCGCAATGCTGAGATGAAGTTTGTCACTGAGGAGACCTAGTGCCAGCCCCGCCGGGGGTCTCTGAGGCCTCTCAGTTATGCCAGCCTTGCTCCTCCTGGCTGTGGACACTGAGGTGGTACATCCAATATGGCTGCCGGGCCACACTGACATTGCTCAGGGCAAGAGGCACCATTCAGTGGAAACTGGTGACCGGCTCTTCAGAATCTGTGGCTTGAAAGGGGCCAGTGATAGTCAGGGCCTGGGCTTCTTCCCAAAGTGCCTTCTTCTCTGAGGTCCTGCTGTGTTCAGGCTGAGGCAGCCACACAGTCCAAATACTGAGGCTACCAGAAAGGAGCAGACAATTTGGGAAATGTGGGTCCTGTTAGCCTCAAGCCAGACGCCCTCCCACCCCCCATCCTCCCCTACAGCAGACCCTGGCACATTATCGTAGCCATGAAGATCCCTTGGTGGCACCTCAGGAACCTGCCCTGAACATCTGGAAATAAAGCTCTTTGGTTTTGTAAGGAGAGACTGACCGGCTGTTTGTGGGGAGGCGTCTGGCAGGGGGGGCTCCTATGCAGTGCTGGAGGATTGAGAGTGCAGCCTAGACTCTAAACAAGGGGGTACATTGCTTAATAACTCATCTGTGGGTCCCTGGCTAAGACCCTCTCCCAGATTCCTCTGCCCCATGGAGAGCAGCACCCTGTGGTCCCAAGAGCACAGGGATTGGCTGAATCTGGCCAATTTGCAGGTCCCCTTATAGCTCTTTGTTGCTCCCATCAGCTTCCCTGCTATCCCCTCCCCCCAGCTCCCTGCAGCCAATGCTGTTAAAAAACAAAGCAACTAGCCAGTGATGACAACCCTTCCAACCCTTGGGCTTGCTGGCTAATCCAAAGCTGTAGCTGAGCCAGTTGGGGTGCGGGATCTGTGTGAGGAGGGGTGGGACTGAAACAGACAATATGCACCCCCTCCCCAGTGGTCATCAAGGCCCTGGTGCTGTGGGGCAGGGAGGGGTGGGCCAGATGTAGTGTGCCTGGGCCAGGAATTCTCCTTGAGCCTACTGCAGACCCTATTCCAGCGGGAGCTTCCCGTGCCACCGTCTTGGCAACATCCAAAGTTAAAGCCAGAGCTGCTGCACAGAGCGTGAGCTACAAAGGCCAGGCGGGAGCTGGCCCAGCTGCATGTCCTGTGCAGATCAAGCACAGAGAAGGCAGCCATCTTTCTGACAAAGACGCTGCAGATTGTTCCAGAGAGGAAACGCACACCCCATGCTCTCCCATCCATGTTCCACGTCCTACAGAGCAGACACCCCATGCTCTCCCATCCATGTTCCGCGTCCTACAGAGCAGGGCTGGAGCCAGAGCCGGCTGCCTGACACTTTGATCTGGCCCGTGGCCGACATCTGGCTGCTTTCTATTTATAGCCTGCTGCCCAGGCCACTGAATTTCCAGGTGGTGGTTCAGGCGGACGAGCCTACTTAAATTTTGTGGCGCTGCCCTGGTTGCGGTGCTACCCTGGCAGGGGCCAGAGCCTTGAGCCCTTTAAATAGTCACAGCAACCCCAGGTGGCTGCCAGGCAGCACAGCAGGGCAGGGAGTTCCAGCTCCGCCCCTTCTGGGGGTGGAGCCGGCCCGTAACCATGTACCACAATTCAGTAAGTGGCCCCCCTGCAGAAATTACTGCTCACCCTTGCTCTAGAGTGCAAGCACCTAGCATGGGGAAACCCCACAACAGGCACACAATAAAAGCTTCCCAAATGACTCCCTTCATCCAACAGTTTTGGTGCCTGCTGGGGTGGAGATGGGATCATGGGCAGGATGGGCTGAGTGAGTAACCAGTTTGCAGTGAGCAACTGGGCCAGTTCGGTCTCCAGTCCCCTTGGGTGGCTGCTTCATATGTCCCCAGCAGTCAAAGGAGGCCTGCTGCCAGCAGAGAAACACTTGGATTGTCCTCACTTGTATCTAAACAGTGCCTGGTGTCCCCAAGCACTATGGCCCACAGAATGCACCTGGGAGTGGGCAGTGCCAGCCCTGGTGCTGGTGAAAAGGAGCATGAAGAGGAGCCCCCAGTGGGGAACAATTCTCCTCAGAGCTGGCTGGAAAATGTTACCTGAAACAATGATCCATTAGAAAATGCCATATGGATTTTGACATTTCCCCCCGGCGTGTCTGGCGGGGGCGAGGGGAGCGGTGGAATTTAAAGGCCCAGCAACAAACCTTTTTTTTTTGCTCAACAAGTTTGGTCCCCTGGTTTTTGTTTTTTTATTGCTCAATCAATTTTTCCCCCCGTGTTTGGGATTTTTTGTGAAAGTATCTGGCAACCCTAACTTTGATTAGAACATTTGAAAATGTCGACAGTTGTGAAAATGTCAGAATTGTAACATTTTCAGGACAAAAAGCTTTGATTTTTGGTTTGGTTTTCAATTAGGATTTTATTTGGTTACATGTTAAAAAATCAAGGGTCAAAATCAAAATACTTTGTATTTATCAAGATCAAAACAGTGGGATTGCTCTGAAACAAATTCCCCCCCCTCCTGAGCTTCACTTAGTGAAAATTATTGAAATATCACTGTGATTCGGGACAGGTTATCTATTTATTTATTATTTTTCAGGTTGGAGAGTCCATTTTTTTTAACCATCTCTCCTCCACTGTACAGATCCACCCCATGGAAAGCCATGTGCCCTATTCCCCCATAGGGTACACCCTTCCCTTATGGCTGGGATGCTGGTACAAGATGCTGGTGCCTGCACGAGGGAGAGGTTTATTTTTAAATCAACCAGACACGCTGTGCTAACATTACAGCTGGCCTTGGCCATAGGAGGGCTTTTAGCATATTAGCAGCTACTGCACAGTTAAAATACATTTTTGCTTTCGGTGACAAGGGCAGAGGCACTGAGAGGAAGAAGGATGGTGCAAATGCACAAGTTTAGAAGCAGGACAACTTCCCTGATCTGCCACCCTGTTGGGCCTCAGTTTCATGGGGCATATGGTGTCATCCATGAATACACGATCTCATGCTAGCTTGTCCATGGGCCCCCTGCCTCATTCAGTGCACGGGATGGCCCATTCAAATGCTTGTTTTTGCCTTGATCAGTGGAGACCCCAGACTATGGACAGAACCTCATTCAAACCTTGCCCTCAAGACACAATTATTCATTTCTTCTCGGGCTTTTCTATAGTGCACATCACAATGCCCTCTGAGTGCCCCACAGCCATTAAAAGGAGGCATGGCCTCCGCCTCGCAGATGGGGGCTCTGTGGCACAAGGAGATTAAGGGCAAAAGTGTCTATTAATTGTGGGAGTCTAATGTGAGACACTTAGGACCTGGGTTTTGTTACACGGTCGAAGCTGCGTTCAAAGCACAGCCCCTACAGACTGTGGGTGCAGCTGCAAGCGCTCGGGGCAGGTGCCCACAAAATGAGGAACAGACCATCCGTGGTTGCCTGTGAAAAGGGCCACAGAACCTGCTGCTTTCAGTGCACAGGTTGGACTTGGTCTGGGGTTGTTCAGTGGGGACTGGGGACACTTCCTCCCCGGCACGCCAGAGCCGTGCAGAGACACCAACCCCCTCCCCACACACCGTTAGAACCCGGAGGTGACGCCTGCCTGCCACACGCCCTTGGAGGGAAACTGCAGCAGGAACCAGTCAGAGACTCCAGTAGCCAGGCTAGGAAACCTTCCCCCCTGTTTGCTCTGGGTTTCCCTGTTCCGTGCTGAGCAACCGCTTGCTGCACCCCACCCAGGCTCAATCCTTCAGTATCCCCCCTTGCCTTCTTCTCTGTCTGTTCCGTCCACCCCTCCTAGTTCACCTGCCCTACAAGCATGGGCTTGCTCTCCCGGTGGTCACGCTTCAGGGAGTCTGCCCCTCACCCTGCCCCTGGCTGCTGTAGATAGATTGGCAGCTCCTGCAGGCGGGAGCCAGTGGCTACTCTGTGTTTGCACAGCACAACGGGGTCACGCCTGGCTTGGCCCAAAGGCTCTACTGTAGTAAGTGTGGTTCAGAGCAACACTTTGGTTAGACGATAGGCCTGCCTTTCAGGGGCTTATGCTATGAACACTACGGAAGGAAACCGAGTCAGAGGTTTTTTCAGCAATTTCCTAACCTCAAGCAAGGTGCAAAGCCAATGGGCCCTAGCAGACTTCTCTTTCAAATGCCCTGCTAAATGCTGAGAACATTCAGTTTCTTGCCTGTTATCAGGGAGCTCTTCAACTTCCGTGGCTATGACTCATGGCAGAACGAAGCAGCATCTCGCTGTGCCCTGGGTACGTGTACACTACACGGCTTTTAGCAACAAGGCTGTTGACTTAGCCACTTCAGCCACCACATCAGAGGCTCGTCCACCTGCACATCCTGTAATGCAGGGGTTCTCAAACTTGTGATACCATGACCCCCCTCTCAGTTGCTCGCGACCCCCCAGGGGGTTGGGACCCACAGTTTGAGAAACGCTGCTCTAATGTGATCTATGCCATCACGTGCCAGCAATGCCCCTCTGCCATGTACTTTGGCCAAACTGGACAGTCTCTGCGACAAAGGATAAATGGACACAAGTCGACATCAGAAGTGGCAACACACAGAAATCTGCAGGAGCACATTTTAACCTGCCTGGGCACTCGTTCATGGGTCTAAAAGTTGCCATTCTTCGACAAAGGAGAAAAACTGCAGAACTGGCCTTCAGATGCAAATTTGACACTATCTCTCATGGCCTGAACAGAGACATGAACTGGATGGGCCATTATATTCAATACCTAAAAGGCATCAAAAGCTAAATGTGGGACACTTCCAGTCTCAGAGCTACAGAAGATTGAGCTCATTAGCATTGGCATGACAATTGACAGGTTTTTTTCTCCCCTTCTCCCTTCTTTTTCTGTTATAAATTGGGAGGTTCCCCCTTTTTTCTCCACTCTTATCAGAGGAAGTGGGGTTTGCCCACAAAAGCTCATGATACTAGATATATTTTTGTTAGTCTCTAGGGGAATGTCTAGACTACAGGCTTTTGTCGACAGAAGTTTTGTCAACAGATACTGTCGACAAAGCTTCTGTCAACAAAGAGCATCTAGACTACAGCCAGTTCTGTCGACAAAGCAAGTCGCTTTGTCAACATGAGAGTGTAGACGCAAAGGACAGTGTAGATGCAATCATGCCTTCTATCGACAGAACTGTGTCGACAAAAGGCGTTATTCCTCGCAGAATGAGGTTTACTGCCGTCAATAAAGCTGCTGAGTTCTGTCGACATTATGTATAGTTATGTAGAGGCAGGTATAGTTTTGTTGACAAAAGCCTGTAGTCTAGACACACCCTAAGGTGCTACAGGACCACTCGCTGGCTTTTTTTGCTAAAAGTCAGCATGTGTGATCACTCTTTGTGGGCAAAATACTTCCTCCCTCTCTGAGTGGCTGGCGCTTTGTTGGCAGGAGAGCTCTCCTATCTATAAAGCTGAAGTTTGCACTTGCACCTGCTGCCGCAAAACTTTGTCATTCTTGGGGGGGAGGACGGTTAAATACCT